CAACTTTCAAAGGAATGTTCTAAGCTAAAATTACGAAAACAATTCTCGATGAATTGTAACTATAACGTTGCGGCAATTGCGATTCGTCGAGATTAATCTTTCGGCGACGCGGAAGCAAATAAAAAGCAATGCGACGCAGAAAAATCACTAAAATTATATATTTCGCGACGAAGGTGCTGTTTTTTTTTTCCGATTATACAGACCGAGAATGCGTGACTGATCGGATAATTATCATAAAAATGTCCAAAACTACCGTGTTATCTTAAACACTATTAGTTCACTATATTACTAGCCTGCGTTTAATTATATAACAATAGGTTTGTTTTTTATTGCCATACTGGACTACATAGAGCTTTTCTTCTCGTTTTTACCAAGTATCAACATATATCTATTTTACCTTAAAAATACAAAGATTGTCTACTAGTTTTATCCTTCTGTCTGTAATCCTTTCAAGTATAAACAAAATTTTACCCTCAAATTCCAATTTCTGTTCAAATGTCAATTTTTAAGAAAGGTTCTAACATTTGAGTTAAAAATCTATTTAATAATATAACAGAGATGAAAAATAATGAATAGATTTTTTTTTAAATAAAGAAATTTGCGATCTTCTTGTCGAATCTAAGTTTTTTTTCATTAGAGGAACAAAAAAACTTAGGCTGAATGGAAAAATTGCAAATAAAAGATTTTTTCCTATTCCTTTGGATGGATTTCTGACCTGTAAAGGATATTAAGCTATTGAGGAAAAAAGGAAACCGTTAATAAATCGTTGTGATAATTTATCCTGTCAAAATCTTCGGCACGTTTCTTAGTGGAACGTGTATGATTAAAAAAAAAGCTTATAACGGATCACACTGCAAATCCCTTGTTGCACCGATATCGAAGGAAGTCGGAGGAAGGGTATTACTCCCATGTGCCCGCAGATAATAATTTCCTCTTCACCGGCCATCTTTTTTACCGCGAGCATCTCGCGAACAGTAAATGAAGAAAAAAAATTTATCTAGAGAAGAGAGAAAGAAAAAGAGAGATGGTTTTTTTACTACCGCTCTAAAGCTGTGCCTCGTCAGAAAAAAAATTAAAGCAAAGATGGTATAGATAAAATTATAAAAATCAAACAAAATTAGTTACAAAGAAGAACAACGAACAATTTATCGGAAATAAAATAAAATAAGAAAGAGATGTTCCGTTATATTTGTCCGTGTACTCTGCTTCTTTTTTCGTCTCTCGAAGAGACTCGCAGAAATAATCATCCGAGAGCACGAATGGGACATGGCGAGAAAAGGCACGGGGAAGAATGAGAATTTCGGCCGTACCTGCAGGATTGTGGCCGCTTCCTGCGGTGGGCATATGGCGAGAAGAGAGAGGCCAGAAGGGATTCGGGGGTTACGGGGGTTTCCCGGAAGGTTCTCACGGTCAATAGCTTTCCCGGTGGCATGCGGCTGGAAAGTGCTCGGAGGGGCCGCCTTTCCCTCCCTCGTTTCCCTCCACAGCCCTTCGTCCTTTTCCGTCCTTGCCCGCAGGCTACATTCGTATTCTGTTGTTTCCCTTGTTCTCTGGTATTTCGGATACCGAAATAATTTTCATTTGCTATACTTTTCCCGGAACAATATTATCAATAGATTTTACGAGACTTTGACTCCATGGGTATTTTTGGAAAAAAAATAAAATAGATAATAAAAGAATGGTAAAAAGAAAAGGAGCCAAATTTAAATTCGACGACGTTATTCCGGCAACCAATTAACGTTCGCGATCCTCGCGAAATTACTATTCGTGGCTATCAATGGAAATCGATACTGCCGTTGGCGGTTTCGGCGACAAGGATTGACCAACGCCACCGTCGCCAGCTTCGGATAATAATTACGCGGAAAACATCACGATACTGCGTACATAGCAAAAGAGATACAAGGAGAGCCGTGAAATAAACGGAAATTTGAAAATTTACGCGTATTGAGTAGACGGATGTCTCTCGACGAATCCATAGTTTCTGGTTTTGCAGAGAGAAAAATTTTTTTCACTAAATTTTTAGGTTCGTTTCCTAATTTTTCTATTGCTACACTCTGCACTAAAATTTTCCATCTCGCTTCTCAGCAAACAAGCTGACGTTATGTGTCATCATTTTGACGTCAAAATGATGACAAATAACATTAGCTTGTCTGCTGGAAAACGTGAGGAGAAAAATTTTAATGCAGCAATAAAAAACAAACCTGAAGGTCTCAAAGAAGTTTTCTGCAACTGGAAATCGCAATTTTACCAAATATCAAACACAAAAAACAAACCTTATGTCTCTAAAATCTCATCGATTTAACATCCAGCAGAAAAAAAGAAATTTAAATGCATACGATAAAAATTATTTGCAACTATTGTAAGATTTATATCTCAAAATACAATATAGGTGTAATAAGCTTTAAGAAACTGATTATGTGAGAAATTACAATCGATTATTTATATTCGATTGCAATTAATCAATTTTTTTAAACTATTATACTGATTGTGTTTCAAGATTAATACAATTACAGTCATATTATTAATATAACATGCCCGTCAAAAATCTGCGCATTGATTTCTGAAATTTTACACAGTAGCAACCTGAGATAATTAATAAGCACAAAATTAGAATTAAAATTATCCGTTTGATTAAATTCTATTGTCTTATTCACAATCCTTAAAAGGAAACGAGCTATACTGGAAAAACGATACTAAAAAATTAACATTAGTAATCGAAGGCTCACGTTTGAAATGTTCTATAAATAGTCACTCGGGGTCCTTTTGGAGTCTATACCTGACTTGGGAACATGCATGACTATTTTAACTTAAATACCAAAATGTGTCTCACAAAAAATATTTTAAATAAACATTGTAAGATTTGAAGAAGACCATCAGATAAGATTAGATATTACTACGTGGATTTTAAGTCCATTTTGAGCTCTATAAAACTCAGATTGATTTTTTCGATGGAAACACTTGTTTTAATGCAGATTCATATTCTGTGGAAAAAAGTAGTTCATCTAATGGCCCTTTTTAAGCTTTACAAATTTTTATTTTTTTTCCAAAAAATGCATTGTTTTCGAGATATATTGGAAATTTGAAGCATTCGCTTGATTTTCTAACAGAAAGTTCTGAAAATTTCAGAAAACTCGAGAAAACGGACGGAAGGATCCAGAACTGGAGTTTATAATTTAAAGGAAGGCGATCGTTGTTTCCCTGTCCCACCCGCGCATCACTCTTCCTTTCTCCTTCAAATATTTGCATATTACCTCTCTCTCTCTCTCTCTCTCGGTTACGCGCACTTACTTCTCATTGTCTGTAACTTACTGGACCTACGCGTGTATCCGTTTACCCATCTCCGTTGGCTGCTCAAGGGAACTCTGTGTCACGAAGTGCATAACGCTTTCTTTCTCCCTTCTCTCCGCAGCCCCTCTCTTTTAACCACACACCTTCAATGCATTCTCACGCATATGCGGACGCACACATTCACGCATCTCATACACATCTCATGCCGTTTTTGTTGCGTATGCATTCCCCCGTACATCCGTCGAATTGGTTTGTTCGCGTTGCTTGATATATCCCCTAAAATTTTTGCATTTTAAACAACATAAATATATATTCAAGCGTCGAAAAAAAAATGAAGATTCTAACTGCAAGCGACGCGACCAGATCTAATTGCGTGTATTCTTTTGTGATACTATTGTTTTTTGGGCATTGTCGTGGTTGATAACTGGGTCTCCTACAATCGAGATAATATTTTGTAATAAGTTGTAAAAAATTGACAATCGATTTATTCTCCTCACATTCAATTGTAATTGGTCGATTGGTTTCTTATGGCTTACAACTTACTACATTACTCCCACAAGGCCTGTTCTTTTCAGTTGAAATTCTTGTACCGTTTATCTTTTTTCTTTTCGTTCTTCAAAGTGTGGAGAAAAAAAAAAGATAATCGTGCAAGAAGTTCAATTAAAAAGAATAGATTTATTGTAGACGGTTCTTAACATCCCCCGCCTTCCTCCGTCTCTCAAAATATTCGCTTTTATACTTAAACTTTTAAGCACTATTTCATCCTTTAAATTTACCAAACATTAAAAAACAAGGAAAATGATGCTTATAAATGCCAAAGCAAACGCAAACTCTTTCTCCCTCTTTTTTTTTCTCTTAATTTTTTTTAAATCTAATTTTACTCTTTTCTGTTAATTTCATATCTTTTCTTTTCTTTTACTGTACGTAAGTACCATATCCACCGATAACAATTCGAGAAATATGCTTGGCTTTTCGTTCTGGAAAATGCAATCCTAGAGCGCATAATAGCGATTCTATTTCTATCTCTCTTTCTCATACCACGCACTCGCTCTTCCCGCCGAAACTTACGGCGCCGTACTCCCGCGTCCGTGCATCGTTCATTCACGCCGAGAACAGTTTTGACACAAGACAGCAGAAACGGCCCGATTTGTTTATGCTTCTCACCGACGGCAGCCGTGCCGGCGTATCGTCCATCGCGACGGCCGAATCATCGTCGCGACGACGCGAGGCGTGATTATTACGATCGCGGCAGCCACGAAAATTCACCGCCGTCGCGAAAATAACCGCGAATCGACCGGCGACAAACGCGGGGCGGGAGGAAAAGAGGCGATTATTTTTCCTTCGATCGCGCGAGGAACGTTCATCCAAAACAGAGTCGCGCACAGGCCAAAACGATATATATATATAGAGAGAGAGAGAGAGAGAGAAAGAGAGAGGCGCGACACAAACGGGGTGAGCGAGAAGAGAAAAAAAACAACATCGTCGATCTCGCTCATCGTGTCCGGTTCATTCCGATATATCTCGTTCTTCTGACAGACAGACAGATAGAAAGACAGACAGAGGAGCGAGAGCGCGCGCGCCGGCGAGCGATCGAGAGCCTGCGAGAGACGGGAAGGATGGAACGGGACGAGACAAGGCGAGACACACGGGCAACAACACTTTTTCACGGAGCAATATTTACGCGGCGCGCGATATAATGGCGCCAGACCTACCGTATATCGATACTGCGCGTCCGACGTTTTCAGATTCACACTGTCTTGTCCGCGTCAGCCAGCACTTTCACACATATATTTACGGCGGCGAGTCGCAATCGAAAATTTTCGGCGCAGCGACCATGTATAAACCGTACACCGACACGGGTCCCCCTTGACGGAACTGAGGCAACGTTGGTTGACACGAGCTGGCCCGTGAACAAAGACCAAAAGATTTCAAATCCCGCCGCGCCGATTGGCCAGCCGCGGTCACGTGGCTCAGGCACTCGGCCCCTTATTGGCCAACTGTCACGGGGGTGCGAGGACGTTTTGAACGATGCGCCGCAATGCACATGGCTGACAAAGACGAGACTTCCCGCGGGGGAGTCGAGCGGAGTCAGGGTCGCGCGATCGCGCCCCCGATTACCGTTTCGTCGCCGACGGATTGAAGATCGTCGACGGATCCTCGTCAACGAGGACACACACGATGACGCGGTGACCGAACGTGGCTCGGCGCGCACTCGGTCTCTCTCCCTAACCTTCCCCACTCGAAAAATGGCCGAACCCAAAACAACACCGCGCGCGCGGAAAGACACTGCTCGATGGCGGCACGATGATCCCGCGACGTATTCCCGGCCCGTCTATGCGGCACCACGCGATTTTTCTACCGTTCACCTCGCGACGCGCGCCAACGCCGTGCACGTCCTCGAGTTCCGTCTCGCGAGCGCGGCGAATAATCGCCGTGCCGTGAACGAGATTGAAAACGACGGGCGAGTCCATTGCAGCCACTACGGAGGGGAGTCGGGCAGCTGCCCGGTTAAGAATGAAACACACTACGCGGCGCCGATAATGGCGGGAAGGTATACACACGCGCGCACGCGGCACATGGATGTTTATCGACTCGGCCGAATGCACATCGCGCACTTTTCGTCACCGTTTTTCGTCGCTCTTCTCTTCGCACCGAATTTCGCGCGAAAAATCTCACCGTTTTTTTCTCTCCTCTTTCTCTCTCGCCGCTATTTCCTTCGATAATGTCCTAGGTCTTTTACCTCCAAAATCAATAGACGGTTTCTTACGCGAATTATTTCTCTGTTACATTCATTTCTCTCTGCACTTTATTCGTAACATTTATCACGTTAATACATCGCTCTGTCTTACTTCTTTAAAATATATGTATTACAAAACATTTTGATTATTTTGCTTCCCTCGATGCCTCAATCTTGAATCTCCATCGCCAAAATACTTATACGCTTTTGTAGTATTGTCAGTCTTACAAAAATATTTTTACTCCGATATGAAACATTTGTATATATACTTTCTATGAGTACTATATTTATATTGCAAATACTTCAAAAAACGTGGAAATAATATTTACAAGTTCCTCTAATTTGAGCAGATTGCTTTGGCCCCATCTGTAGCACCATTGTTTTCTTGTATTCTTCAAACATCTTGTACGATAGATTTCTTGTTGACAATTTACTTAATTCGATATCGTTGTGTATCCATGTTACATTCCATTTATCTTCTGATTTGGAATTTTCTTCGAACTTCGTTTTTAAATTGAGTGAGCTCTCATTCGTCGTTTCTTCAAAGATATTCATTTCGCTCTTCTTTTCTTTTATTACATTATTTCTCATTTGAATATGTATATCTTTCAAATCCACATTCAACAATAATAAAAGTTGAAAACAGCATAACAATATGTATATAAATGTAATATAGAAATATATATTGACTTAGGATATCATTGCACGTTAATTGCGATCTCTAAAGCTCAAGAGATTCTGATTAATACACGTATCACTAGGCTTATAAATGGTCGAATTCAGCTGTCAGTAGCATTCGACTATGGCACTTTTAAAATCTGATGCATAATGTAAGGCATATTCGTTTAAACATTTGCAACAGACGGTATTATTTTAGTATATATTTCTATTCCCTTCAGGAAAATATCTTTGTTTAAATATTCATCGTGATCGTGAAGAAGTATCTTTGTCTTGTTCATTGGTGAGAAACAAAGAGCAGGAATGCCCACCTGAAAAGTAAATATAGCCAAAGTTATATTTTATATATGAAATGTATAATTGTAGCATATTAAAAATTATAGCTCGTGAATAATCTATATTTTTATAGTTAACGTGATGTCATAATTTAAACACGGTGCTTCTAATCTTAATGAACACATTTCCCATATTCTAATGTGAAACTGCTGATAATAAACTGCTATTTTAATCAAATAAAAAAAATATGTATATATATAATTGCAAACATATATATACAATATATATATATAATTTAGAAAAATATTTAATTCAATAAAATATTTATAACTGCTAAATTTTGTCTCTAAATGAATTAAAGTTTCTGAAGTAAATGTATGAAACAAAACGTGATGTGAATGTTTTATAAGTAAATTTCACATACTTTGTAACAATTATAATAACATAACAATAACATATGTTTCCTCTCCTATGCATTTAAATGTGAAATTTTCGTATAAAGACCAATCCGATGCTCACCTCTCGCACAAAACGGCTATCTGTACCTCCCGCGAAGATACCGATTTCTAAATTAACACCAATCTCATCGCAGATATTTTTAAAAGCGATCCAGTATGGATTAGACTCGTCTAGTTTGGTGCCCTCAATTTTGGGGTTTTTTTCTTCGAAGGAGTAGGTTACATTTGGACCAGCTTCTTCGCACCAGCGTTTGATAGTAGCCTCGAATTCTTCGTGATCAACAGAAGGCGTTAAACGAATGTCGAACATAGCATTGAGTTCGGTAGGTATAACATTAGTTTGTACGCCACCCTGTAAATAAAAACATTTAATAGGCTAAGATCATAAAATATTAAATAGATAAATAAGAATTTGATGAAAACCTAAAATGGCAAAATAAAATCTTAACACAATTATAAGACAAGAATTAATTAAAAAGTTGTATATTATGATCAACGTTAATTGCAAGACTTATTAGAACATTAGGATACTTACTGTGAAATATAAAAATCCCAATGAACAGACATATAAAATAAACAAGTATTATGTAACAACTTGAAAGTTAAAGCTAATTAATTTATTTGTTTTTTCTTTAAAATTTTCTTTTGAAAATTTATTATTCATTGAATTTAGTATATAATAGTGTCTATACAAAAGCAATGAGCTAAGTAGTTTCTTCATGGTATAGATTTGAAATTATGTGTGACATTCTATTGAATATTTCTATATCATAAAGAAATTTGTTGATACTCCGTATTACAATGTCTATAAATTACCACTCCGAGTTATATAGAGTAGAAATTGCAATAATTAAACAATAAGCAGCATTTCGTTTGACGAACGAAGACAAAACCGATTATTAATATAGTATTAGTAAGTTACGTATCCATTGAGGATGTGAGAACCAAAACATTTAGAAGAATAGAATTTAAATTGTAAATTAAAAACAATTATTGCACTGTCAGTGTGCTTAATTATCATTACCCTTATATAAACACTTTTATATTTGTATTTCATTGAGCTTTTGGAGACTTGTTTAATTTTTAGTATAGAATCTCATTTAATATTTAGCATTCTTATACATAAATTTATTTAAATGAAAAGTGACAATAATTCAATGATTTTTAAATATAAATGTTATTATAAATTAATATTTATCAGATGGTAAACATTTTTTTTTAATGAAAATGATATATTCGCATGATACCTACCCAAATTTTTGTAAGATTGACAGATGTCACTCCGCCAAGAGTAACCACTAATTTCGTAGGATCATTGCTTAGTTTTGCTTTTTCGGAGGCTCTGAAATCTGTGAAACGGTCGATTATGATTCTTAATTTTTCGCCTGCTGTGTTGTCCAACATGATGGATCCATGACCGGGACTGCCCATACACTTTATTTCGACATGCCAAATCGATCTTTCTTCGTTAAACAAATAGAAGTTCTCGAATGGGCAAGCCACACCTTCGTCCAGCGCAAAACCAATGTTCAGAGCTTGGAAGTCCGTGGTGTGCACAAAGTCTTTCATTCCGAGAACACCGCCGATCTCCTCGTCCGGGACGAAAGAGATGTGGATAGTGCGTTGACAACGCTGTCCGTTCAGTTTTAGTCTACGGATTGCCTCCAAATATTGTATTCCCACGCATTTCATGTCTTGGCTGCCGCGAGCGTAGATATTGCCTTGCTCATCCATGTGTGCGCTGAACGGTGGATAGGTCCATTTGTCCTAGATCAGTTATATAATTAATATTGGAAATCAACAAGTTGATCATACGTGAACAATAATTATATACACACTAGGGTATGTTCGGATTCCCAGATGCTCCCTCTTCCCCCTATAGCCCAGACTTCCAAAGGACGTCATAAAAAAGGATATCTCTATATTCCAAGAATATCCCTCAAATAAAGTATGTGTAAGCAGGATATCATGATTTTTGTTTAAAACATTCGGTAAACAACAAGGATAGAGTGATGCCTGAGATGCACTCAGGTGGGAATCTGAACACAACCCTGAGAAAAATATTTGATTGAATTAATTGAAATTCTGGTTGAAAATAGACGAATCAGAATTTTCTGGTTCATCTAAATCTACCAGAATTCGAATTATATCTACAATCAGAGTTCCAGTTATCTCTAATTGAGATAACTGGAACTCTGATTGTAGATATAATTCGAATCGTGTCTATTAAATTCAGAAATTCAGAATCCTCTGTCTAATTCATTAAATTCAGAGTTTTCTATCTAATTCATCCGTTTTCAAGCAGATATATTTTTCTTAAGTCTGCAGTAATATACATTCGCAATATCTTTACGACAAATCAAAATACTTACTTCGAAAACAGGTACAACGTCCATGTGACTGTTCAAGAGAATCGACTGTTTCGTAGGTTCCGTTCCCATCCATGTTAAAATCACAATCGGTTTTTTAGGATGTACGTGATAAATTTTGATTGGTAAGTCGAGAGACTGTGCTTGTTTAGTTAAGAATTTCACGCATTCATCTGGAATAAAAAACAGCAAATTAGATTGTATTAGGCTGCGGTTTTACTTTTTATCCATAATTCATGAAAACAGAAGGGATATGCCTGAACATAAAAAGTAAAGGTAATGAAAGAATCAATTATAAGAATGATGCAATCAGTGAAAAGAAGCAATAATGTTAGGTAGAGTAAGGTTCAAAGGGAATAAAAGAAAAGCGAGTATAATAACAAAGGATGATTATAGACTGGGATAGGATTACAGTCTAGATATTAAATTTAGTTTATAGTATTAGAATTATTTATATATATAGATATAGAATATAAAATTAAAAAGATATGAAGGAATAATGTAAAGGATATATGAAGTAAAACTAGATGTTTTGAGTAGCAAAAAAAAAGTAGCAAGAAAAGAAGGTATGTAGCAGCATGCAGATAAGGTATAGATGAGTGAATAGGTTAAAAACTATATGTAAATCAAGCCCCCTTCTTGGCTATGTATGCTCTGAAGTGTAATAACGCATTATATTTTATCCTTTTATGTAATCTATTCAATTATCAGAATTTAAAGAGCTTTTGTAAAAATTAATTGTAAGTTAAATTACATGATTTCTTACTACATTTAAAATTTGTAAGTTCACAGATAGTAATCGGTGTGGCAATTCCATATAATTTAGACTTTGACTCAATTTATTTATAAGTAAAAGAAATTTAGAACGTTATTGAGACAACAAGACCTAAATTGTAACTGTAAATAAAATAAAATATCTTACTATGTATAAAATTTATAAGTTAATCGGGGTGTATTAATTTATCTATTTGAAATATCTAAAACATTGAGATAACAGATCTTATGTTGTTGTTCAAGTTCAATGTTTTCGTCATTCTAAAGTGATTTTCCTTATTAAATAATAAAGAGATTATTAAATAATAAAGTGAAAGGGGACACGACATTATTACACAATAATAATGATTTGTATCGTGGAAATTAATTCCTTTGGAGGTATCAGGTCGGCAATCGTATGATAATCGCGATAAGAGACGTGGCACTTGCTAAGGCACGATAATTGGCTCTATTATCAATTGTAGTCTCTAATCTATTCCATCAAGAGGTCCACAGGATCTGTTATTTCCCAACTATGTGCGTTATCAAGAAATATAACGAGTCATAAATGTGTCGGACGCGACGCATCTGCAAGTCAGGCCGGTATCGTATCGAAGGAACGCGAAATCCCCGTCGACTGGGTTACATAACCAGCTTCCACATTTTCACCGGTCGTCGATTCGCAATTCGGGACAGCCTCTGCCCGTCGAACCGGCAGGATCATTTCGGGAATCACGATGATCACGACGGAAACGCAAAGTGCCGGGCCGTGTGCTCAATCTGGGTCACGCCGCGGCGCGGCGGCGCCTGTCGATTCGCCACGACGTCGCCGTGGTCGTCGCGCTCCGGTCAGCGGGAGGACGCTCGGGGCCGGTTCCGGGGACATCGCGGAACAGCTCGAGGAGGTCGGCGAGACGCCACGACCGGACGTAGGGGAATAAAAATAGAAATAACATCGCGCGCGTAGGGTGGGGCAACGCAATGGCTGGATAGCGTCACCGACGCTATCCCCCCAATTCGTCACCTCGCAAACGTCCTCGCCTCTCGCCGGCGTCGCGGGGACGCGTCGACCCGATTCCCACGGACGAGCGACGCCGTCGATCACGAGGAACTCCCCCTCGTCGTCGGTTGAATCGTGCAATTTACCTAACGAGGAAACGCGTCGTTAAGTGGCGTACTTCGCGACCCCGTTCGCGAACGTGGCCGGTCGGCGTGGGTCTCACTTTTTCCTACCTCTTTTTTTTTTTTTTCTTTTTACAGAGGACACGCACAAGTCACGCGCTTTCTCCGCGTTTACACGCTTTCTTCTGAATTTACAATCTCAACCAGACGCTGTACGCGACGCGAACTAATCCGCTTTCGCCGCTGAACGCTTTTAGACGCGCGTCACGGCTTGCGGATCTCTCTCGCTCTCTCTCTCTCTCTCTTCCCCCTCGCTCTCTCGTCCACCGCGTTTATCCGTTTTTTTTCGAAAATTTTATGAAATCCCAAATCACACACATCACCCCTGCGATTGCTCACCGTAGTTGATGTCTGGCTGCACCGACGGTATCCGCAGGTACTCGCGGAAATTCTCCACAGCTGTTTCGTCCAGTTCGGTCTGCGACATCGCTCTGAGATGGCCCGTTCGCTTGTTGCCTTACTGCGGCTTGTGATTCTTACCCTTGCGATTAGTAGGGCGCTTCCTAATGCCTGATCGTCCGTCCGTACGCCGATAAGGTGAGCGCGTCCAGACGCCCTACCGTCAGCGATCGACTGTCACAAGCAGACAGCGGCGTCGGAGCCAAGTCCGGAGTACCTTCGCAGCCGGAATGCCGCGCGCGACCACGCCACGGCTCGCCCAATTGCCGCCGGTTACCGGCGTTGACGTCACGGCGACGCGCTCGAATCGAATAGCGCGGTTAGTAACAGGCTCCCATGCGCGCGGTACGACACCGCGTCCACCACGCCACGTCGCTCGGAGAAGCGTCGTCGCCGTCGACGCACCGCGCCGGTTCGCCGTTTCAAATCACGACGCATGGTAACGCGACACCATGCGACGCGGCGTGGCGAGGTGCGTGCTCTTGATCTGCTTCATTTTTGGACTTTTTATACCACTTCGCTTTCATCCGATTCTAAAGAAAAATGTAAAATATGCGCTAAATTTTCAATAAATTTTTAACGTTCGCAGCGGGTCCACATATCTCCTCTAAAATTGTTAGACTACGTTCGAAAATACTACCCGAGTGTCTTCGAGTATCATTTTATCCTTGTTTAATATTCGATCAACAACAAGCATAAAGTGATACACTCAAAAGTACTCGAGTTTTCAAATACAGTCTAGAGAATGAATCTCACTTTTCAGAGAGAAACATTAATTTTATAGATTAAAAATTGAGCTATTTTTTTCTTTCAAAACTGATTCGATTTTCACTCTTTAGAGTAAAATTTTATTCCAAAGAGAGAATTTAGAGAGTAGAAAGATTGCCATTTATGTAGAATTACTTTAATTAAAAAATTTCAATTAAAAACATTTTAATATAAATTTATTTTATAGATGAGCATTATATATATATATATATATCTTATTACTGACAAAATTTACCTTATTTTAATAAAAAATACAAATATATAAAATTTTGAGTTATTTGTGCTTACAGTTTTCAGAACAGATTGTGATTTATTTTACAGTAAGATAATATAAAAAGAATCACTCAAATGGATTTACTACAATTATAATATATTTTTTTATCTTATACTTCCGATATTTTAATTTTCAGACAAATAAAGTCTGTTATAAGTTCGGCAAAAACAGCCAGAATATTTTTATCAGTCTTGTAAGATAAAAATTACTGAACCCCCCATTTCTTCTTCATGTGATCTACTGTGGTAAGCTTTGAAGCAACAGTTTTGTTGATATTATAACGTGCATATACTGCGTTATCTACCTCTCTTCTTGTTAATTTTAATTTTGTAATTTATCATGTTGTGTATTGCAATAAAGATTAAAAATATCATCCTTTCTGCTCCTCGCTGCCGTCACTGAATTAGAAAGAAACGCTGCGCTGGAATAAAACGAATTTTGCATTCTCTCTTCCATATTTTAAATGCAATTTTCTGAAAAATTTCAAAGTCAAAAACATACGAACACAAAGACGCATTTACGAAAAATTTGCGACAATATTTGCCGCAATACCTTCAGTTTATGTTTTTGTTTTACTAGAGATGATCATTAGCTAAATTTTCTAATGTCTTATCTCGACAATTCTTCCTATCATTAATTAGGGATAACTTATGGCAATTCTAGAAAACAAAAAAACACAGATCTTGTTGTCTGTCGCTAGCTAACGATGATAATGATAATCGTCGATAAGACTTTATAAAATATTGCTATTTGTCACTCTTGTATCTGTAACATAAAAACATTTCTATGTATCTATTTCGAGCAATGTAAATAACTTTAATTTCTCTAAAACTTTTAGTGAAACTCTCAATTTTAAAGATGAAAAATTGAATCATTCTTTGACAAGACTAGTTCAATTTTCACTTCTTAGAATGAGATTCTACTTTAAAGAGAGAATTAGTCAATTTACTTTATATCTTCTAATTCTAATGTCTGTTTTCACATGAAGGTGATAGTTTAATCTTGGTTTAATGAATTCAGTCACTTACATTACATTAGTGCACATTAAAAAATTGTTGCTATGCATGGCATTAGAAAAAATTAAATGTAGAAGCATATAAATACCTAAGAATGTGTCATATTATTTAACAGATATATATACATCATATATATTTTATTGTCAAGTTGATTATATCTGCATTTAAATCCTTTATATAAAGAAGTGTTTGATGTGCTTTAATCCAGTGTAGTGTAATTATGAATTCATCATAAAACTGTCTATTTTTTCTAATTCTAAGAATTAAAAAAATGAAGACCAAGTTAAATCAAGAAAATTTAATCTATAATTTTACGAAAACGAATATAACAGTTAGAAAAAGATAAAAAATAAAATAATCTGATTGTAAGATTAAAGCTCATTTACATTGGTAAATGGGCTTTAAGCAAGACTCAATTTATATCAGTTTTTAAAAGAATTTTGACCGACCAAAGTAGCATCAAATCTATATATAATTTCGGACTTTACAAATATAACGCGTGGTGTTACATAACAGTTATATTGTTGAATGCGAAATTATACCATAGATAATACGTTATTTTTAGTTAATGGAATGATAGTTGAATACTCTTAAAAAGTGCTTTAAAACAAAAAATGCATAATATTTGTATAATACTGTAAATATTAAATGACTAAACGTAAAAATATCAAAACAATTTATATAACCCATAATTTTGAGCAAGACAGTATTAAAGTTTATATGGTATTCTATTAATTCTACCTACCTATTTATTGTCGAAAAAAATAAATAAATAGTAGCTTCGAAACCATAATTGTTGAACACTTTATAATTGTTCTTTGAAAAGCAGAAAAAAATGCGATATTCGCACAATGTTGCAATTAGCGAATTTCGATTAACGTAAAAAAAATATGTAGTTTTCAACAAAAGATAGTTAGAAATTGCATACATAACGATAACCCTCTTATCGGAAATGGCAGATCATAATGTATAACGTTCGTGTCTGTTTATTGTTTAAGAATTGAAATAATGAACAGATAAGCTTTTATCTCTCCGACGGTAAACAAGTGATATCAATATCGTGTCGGTTTTACTATGTTAATTTTCATTTTTAATTCCATTATAAACATGATTTCACTTGTTCAGATGTATTAGGGTGGGAGCGATAGTCGCCTCGAACGTGGAAAAAAACCATGAATTTTACTGTACGACAAATAAGGCGATAAGGGCCATCAGTCAACTCGACTAGTAAAATGTATTCCGATTTATTAAATTTTTTTCACGTATGCCTAAATATGAGCTCTTTACACGTTACGTCATAATAATATATCATGTGTAGAGTTTGATATCGAAGAACTTGTTACATTTATTATAATCGGTAATATGGATTAAATTATCATACAATGTAATAGGTAATAATTGTAACATGGCTATAACTAGGCACATACATGTAACAGTGAATTGCAAATAAAAAAATTATCGTGTATTCAGCCTATTATATAAAGATTGAATATATATATGCGAATATAATATAATATTAATATAATATAATATAATATAATAACCGCTATGCGCTCTGCTTTTTTTATTTACAACATTGAAACGATTATCCTAACGAGTTGTTTTATACTATCAGATGCTTTAATAACAAGATCGCGTGCTGCTCCATTCTTTATGTCAGAATGTCATTATACAGATATATATATATATATTTATGTATATATAAATGTATATAATATCAACTAGAGCGAAGAATTGTACAACGGACAATAAACACATGGATTTAGCTGCAAAGCAATCGTAGCTTGATCTTCGGATTTCCAATAGAATTTCACGAAAATTCGAAGGATAGAGAAATTAATGTATATATATGTGTGTGTGTATATATATATATATATACTTAAATTTATCTTACAAAAATATTTACATGTTCTCATTGTGTGTATACGGATGGCGAACACAAGCTGTACACTTTTTTATCTCTCTAATGTTACGCCACCTGCGGCAATTTGTAACTTACATTAGTGTTGTGTACACATCTGTCTCTTTTCTCTTATTACAAAATATCAGCTAAAATACAAAGTAAATATCAAATGCCAAAAATACGTCTGTTTATATTTTGAAATCGCAGCCGAACGCAATATAAAGAAAGGTTTCCCTTTTGTTTATAGAAGATCCGTACACATATATGTACCCAGGAATTTTGTTAGGACACCCCTCCTCCTCCCCTTCCGTAGAGCATAAATTTTATAATTTCAGTTTGTTTTTTACCAAATTTCCTAATCACAGATTTCTAAACTTTGATATTTGCTTAAAAATCGACAGTATACTGTTAAAATTACTCGCTTTTCCTCACTTTATGCGTACGTTAAGAATCCTATACTGCACATTTTGCATCTTCCTTCGGCTAGAATCCTATTATATAATCAGATTATACACAGTGGATGCGGTACACTTCGTACTCCTGAGTGCTTCAGATGTTTTCGCTCTGTTCTTTATCTATAAATTTTAATTCCACCACGGATCACGCAGTATCTTCTAATTATTTTATCCTTTTTTTAGTTTTCACAAAAAAAAAAGATTTTTACAGTCAATATTTCAGTAAAATCTATAATCAAAATGCTTCTAAGTGATTTTTACTTTCTAAATTCAGTTTCCACAGAGCAAAAATCTGTAGCACGTTAATGCCACATTAATCATGTTACAAAATAAGATCAAATAGGCGGCTATTATCGCGAATATAATATATAAATGTTCAAGCGTTATAAATATTCGGAGTACCTACTTATAGTGGACCACATCCATAATTACATAATTTGTAATCAGGAAACTATACAAGTCCAAGCTAAGAGTCTTAATCCATTTTGAAAATAACGCTTTTCACGTTTTGTATAATAAATTAAGATATACAATATATTTGCCTCTTCGCCAATAAAACTTAAAATATACAATAAAGCCATCATCAGAGATTGAGATTGTGGAATGACATTTAACCAATCAAAAGAAAGAAAGCCAATCTCAAGTTTAGTAAACTTTAGTTTGATTAATTAAATTTCAATCTTAATCTCTAGTTTAATCACGGCTTTATTTAAATGAATTTATATATTTAAATGAATTAATATATTCTTACCCTTCGAAAATGATTTTAATTGTCACTTGATGCAAAATTTTAACATATAACGTAGTTATAAACGCT